ATGCTGACTGCAAGAATGAATACACAGCATATGCATCTCAATGAAAGATGAAGGGTGTGAATGACAGGTATGTGTGTGTTAGCACACACAAATTCATACGTATGTATGCGACCGACGCTAAAATTTTGGCGTGCAAATACACACACACGTACATATATACATGGTCACCGCTAGTTTTTGCGTACTCGCAAACACACATACCCCATAATGAAAATTTTCCATTCACACATTTTGCGTTTTACCTGAAACAAAAAAATGAAAATTTAATGTTCATTGTTTTTTGGTTAATTATGATGTGTATGCTTACCTGTATTGCGCTGCAATGCCTCCACATAACATTCCCATTGAACCTCGTGGCCACCAGGAACTTGAGGGCTGGTCGGTCAGCCATCCATTTTCATGACCATCCTCCAGGTAGTTTTTTTATTGCAGAAGTCATGCACATCACCATATCCATTGAAATCAATGGATATGGGAAATGCAACACTGCGTGAGCGTAATAGGTTTGGATGTAGCATAAAACAGACATAAATAAATGTCGGAAAATTGTGCGAAAAATGAAAAGGAGGGAAAATCATGCTTGGGTTTCGGCCATATAAAAGGAGCGAATGAAAGAAAAATCGCCATAGTTATTTGTGTCCACTTAAAATCCAATTGGATTTTTCCCAAAAATAAAAAAACAATATCAACAAAAAAAAATCTAATTGGAAATAAAAAAAAAATATATTTTTTTCTTCAACGTTTATTGTGGTGTTGTGTGACAAACATATGTTGTGCGTATGCAAAAATGTAAGCATGTTGTTTAATGTGTTTGTTTTTTGTCGCTTCAATGTCCTGTTTTTTTTTTTTGTGTTTCATTAAAGTTAAACGCCAATAAAAATCTGCACACCGCCGAAGAAACTGACCCCTCCCAAATATCTGCGTGGAGGAGGTCAGATGAAAATTTTGAAGAATATTCGGAAGAATTTTTGAAGACGTTGTGAAGACAGCTGGGAAACAGCCATAAAACAGCCTTGAAAAGTTGCCAAAATCCTGCCAATAATCCCCTTTAAGTCCGTATGGAAGGGAAGAAAAATCCTGGTGATCCTTGATGATTTGCTCTGTCGCTGGTAATAAACCCCTACAATAAAGAAACCAGAAAAGAATATATTTAATCGTTGGAAACCAGGTAAAACAATATTAATATAACACATACCGATTGATGATAATGCTGGAATAATGAAAGTGCCAGTTCCCTATGCAAATCAAAAAAACCTGAAATGAGATAAAAAAAAAAACGTTAATATAAATTTTACAAAAAATAAGACACAAAAACTATAAAAAAGACAAAAAAATATAATTAAAACAATAATATATGTTAGTATAAGTTGTGAATGTTAGTAGTTAGTTTAGAATTAAGAATTTAAATGATTATATTTTTGTGAGGATTTTTAACCCCTTTTAATTACTGGTGAGCTAGATTACCACATTTCTACGTGGAGCAAGAATTTAGTAATTTTGCGGACGCAATTTAACCGCATACGTCACCACTAATAGAGCTCTCTTAGGTAGGTGTAGTTGTCCAAAGTGGCCTAAATTGGCAGTGTAAAATGCCCTATGTAGAGTAATGGTAATCGACGAATTGATTCACACTGAGAGAAAAGGAGTTAGGAGTTCATGAATTGACATAATTTTTTCATGTTTTGTGTTAGATTAAGGTCCAAAAAAATGTCAATAAATGATTTTTATGTTTGATTTTATGTTATTAGAAATTATGTTGTGTTAATTTTTCTTTGTGAGAGAGGGAATTAGGTGTAAGTTTTCGTGAGGTAAGTGTGTGTGGAATTTGGAGCCCTTTTAAATATAAGATTTCGTCAATTGGACTAAAGGGTCAAGGATGGGCGGGCATAGTGGAGGAGCACTAAACCAAGCTCCTTCGTCATAGGTGTATGTTGTGTTTGTTTATGTTTTTGTGTTTTGTATGATCCAAAAATTTCTAGTTGTTCGTTCCCTAGGGTTGATGGTGGCAAGGGTTGAGAACTCCCCTGATCGAAAAGTGTTCCCAACTGAGCTAGTGCGAACCCCGCCATAACGCCGCATTAGGTCAAGAACGTAACAAAACATATAATATTCCTATCAAATAAGTATATACTTTCTGAGATATGGATCACCAAAATACCGCGCGATCCTTCTGAAAAACAATATGGGTATGAATTAATAGCGGCTGGGACACAAGTTACAAAAATGTAACTACAGCTACGCGACAGAATCTCCTTTTAATTAGAATAGAATTTGTGGGTAGCCGGCCTTCGGCCGGGGATTTAGGACTTTCTACTATGGTCAGATGCCTACTCTGGCTACGCGACAGAATCTCCTTTTAATTAGAATAGTGTTTGGGGGAAGCCGGGCTTCGTCCGGGGTTGTACGCTATTCTCCTATGGACAGATGGCAACACCGGCTATGCGACAGAACCTCCTTTTAATTAGAATTGAGTATGTGGGTAGCCGGCCTTCGGCCGGGGATTTAAGACTTTCTCAGATGGCTACTCTGGCTATGCGACAGAATTTTCTCTTAATAAACATTGTATCACAATGCCTTTACTCTTTAATACACATATTTAACCTTTAAAATGATAGCCATACTGCCTTGACCAATATTACACATGGAAGGGACTTACCGAAATTTGGAAACCCATTTCTCAGAAAGTATGGACATATTTGATATGAATATAAAGGTTTTGTAATCAGGGCTTCAAATGCTTTGAAATGATACCCATATTGCCTTAGTGAATTTTAAAAAAATATGAGAAAATACAACGGTCCCAACGGAACTTTGAAGGCCCATATCTCCGGAAATACAGATTTCCGCAAGAAAAAAAGTATACTGCTGTAATCAGAGCCCCAAGGACTACATGTGGTAAACATTTCAAAACGATCCGAGAGGGGGCCCTAAACTAGACTGAAGCGGAAAAAATGTCCGCAATTTTTTTTAAGAATTAATTTTTTGAATTTCCTGGGATGTGATTTATGTTTTAAAAATATTAAATTGAATAAATTCCTCAGAATAATTCTTGTTTTTATTTTTCCTTAAAATTTTTTAAGAGAAATTTTGCCCACCATTGCTCTCAATCAATTTTGTTCCGTACACCATTGGAATTATCGCACATCAATATGTCGCTTGTCTTTATTTCTCTGCCATCGCCTTAGCAATGGCAATCATTTTTCGTACAGTATTTTTATCACAAATATCATAGGGCAGAGTGTCTTGTTTGCCCATACTGACATCACATTCCATTTTGTTCGTGGAATTACCATCTGTTGTATCGGATACATCCACACATGCTGATACTTTTGCGGAACCATGAAATTCGCTGCACTTGGTTGCCGTTAAGATTTCTTCCAAATTCGTTATATTTATACCAGCACCGGGCATTATAATTATATCTCTATGATGCCGTGCTATCAACTGGGCTAGATTATCAACACCTTCGATGGCATTTTGACGAAAACCACTACTTAATATCCGTTGAAATCCCAGCTCGATAATTGTCTTTGTGGTTTCGTGCATTTTCGCCGGATCTGTAATATCAAACGCCCGATGGAATGTCATTGGTAGACTTTTAGCCTTCTCCAATACCTGTTGACATTGTTCGATGTTAACTTCTCGTGATGCTGTCAGCGATCCGAATACAAAACCATCGGCACCATTTTCTTGTAATAGTTCCATATCATGTAGTAATGCCGACATTTCATAGTCTGTATATATGAAATCATTACCACGACGTGGCCTCAGCATGCAAAAAATCGGTATTGTTAGGGGAAGACTTTTTAGTGTTTTTAAAACTCCCACTGATGGAGTTAGGCCACCTTCACTAAGGGCTGAGCAAAGTTCAATACGCGTTGCTCCACCTTCCATGGCAGCAATTGCGGATGCAATAGAGTCCACACATACCTCTAGTTTGATGTCATGATTGGGACTCATTTCTTGATTTGTTATACTTTTGATTTTGTTCTTTGTATTAATTACAAATTTTTAATTGAATTTATTAGCTTGGCTGCCGGTGTTTTGTTTGTTTTTGTTAGAAAAAATAATGCTTCTTCTTGTTTTCTTGAAGCAAAGGTGGCATTCAAAGGTAACGGTTATCAAAATTAGGTGAATGAATGAAATAAACAATGCTTCTTCTTATTCGTGACACATGATTGATAGCAGGCCTTAAATTTAATTAATTGCTATGGCTATATTTACACTGCACTAGACATTTTCGACTATTAGTAAAAATTAATTGATTCTTGGTCTGGAACAGATCAAAAAATAATTGTACAATGGTTGCAAGTGTTTTTGAACAGTCACAAAAAATTAAGTAATCAAAATTGATTTTTAAAAAATGTGTTAATCTTGGGCACAAATATATTTACACTTAACCACACTGAACAAGACATTTTAGACTAGTACTTGAAAATTTGGGTTGCATATAAAACTACGTACAGAAATAGGTCGGCCCATGGTACAATTATTTCAGGCAGGCCATATCAATGTATAAATTTAATTGTTTTCATACTGTGGCTTGTTATGTCAAATGTGTGACTGTGTAATGTTTTGAGAAATATAACAAAATATATTGGGAAATCGATTTGTTTTAAGATGAATTTTACAACATTTGTATGTTTGCTTTTCCACAGGCAAATTTTTATTTGGCAAATACTGAGTTTGTAGGCGAGAGGGGTGCGAGGAAGAAAAACAAAAATTTGCCTGTTCAGAATTTGTCGTACACGCAAATTCTGCTTTGCTCTGTTCGTTGAAAACAATTTTGTTGACATTTCCTTTTGAACCTATTCGCTTTACTGACACACAGCCGGCTTTTGTTTACAAACCTGTTGCTTTAATTTGTGCAAGTGAAATTTAATTTTTAATTTTTGCAATATATATAATAAAATATATAAAAAAATAAATAAAATATTTTAAAAAATCTTTAAAATGCAAACACTTTTGACTTTTATTTTCTTTCTTTTGTATTTTGATTCGCAAGCGAAAATTTCAAAAGAGAAAACAAAAAATTTGCCAAATAAAAATCTGCCTGTGGAAAAGCAGACTAAGAATAAATGTATGATTTGTGAATGAATCAACATGTAAACCATGCATTTCGTCAATGTAAATGTTGTTGTTGTCATTTGGTCTGTTCCAGGACTTGCAAGAATGTACAATTTTTTACTACGATAACAATTTTTCAATTTGGATATCGGAAAAAACAGTCGGTCGAACGATTTGAAATGAATAATAAGTAGAGCTAGAGGCCCTGATTCCAATGATATATGTTTTTCTGTCGGAAGCCCTGGTATCTGATATGTATATTAGCATCCAAAGTACATTTTGGGCCAATGTATTTTCTTTTCGTTTTGAGGTGTTTTAGGTATGCGGTATATGACATAAAATACAAAATGTGTATATATTATAAGGAGATCCAAAAATGTATAAATTTATGTTATATGGATCTAAGCCCCATCAAATTTATGGGAATCGTTGCTTTAAACGGAAACCCATTAAAACACATGGTCCCAATGGAATTTTGGAGGCACATAACAGTGGAAGCATTGACTTTAGCAAAAAATTATAATGGTACAACATTTAAAATGATTAGCGGCCGGACAATAAACTAGTCTTATTCTGAATGCACGTAATGAAAAAAAAAAATATTTTTTGATGCTCAGAAGTGTAAATCTAAAAGGAGCAGCCATTCAGCTATTTTAAAAGAGTAAGTCTCTCATCGCTTCTAGAAGTAGAAAAAGCCACATGAATTATAGCCACTTTGGTTATTTTAAAAGAATACCTTATTTTTTTTTGGAAGAGCTATAGCTATATTAGAAGGCCTTCAGCTTCTTAAATAAAGACACTCATTTCTTTTAGAAGAATACATTAAGCTCTTCTATGAGAAGTCTTTCAGCTCTTCTATGGGACAACCTTCAGCTCTTCTATGGGAAGACCTTCAGCTCTTCTATGGGAAGACCTTCAGCACTTCTATGGGAAGACCTTCAGCTCTTCTATTAGAAGACCTTCAGCTCTTCTATGAGAAGACCTCCAGCTCTTCTATAAGAAGACTTTCGGCTCATCTTTGAAAAGTCAATGAAGGGTTGTCAAAATAAAAAAAATAGTCATATGTTAGCATGAGGTTACCTCATTTGTTGTATCATGCCCATAAGGTAGAGATGTATAATTATACCATGTTTTATGCCATTTTCAATGTGTTACATGGCAATTGTTCAATTATTACATGTACGAAAATATTTCATTTTCAAATAAATATAATTTATTTGTTTGTTTACATTTTTCTGTCAAATGACGTTGACACTAGTATAACTTACAAAAACAAATTTCCATGTAGTTGTTGTATGTACAACAACTCTTGCTGTTACCTTCTATTATTATAACACACCCAAAAATATTTGTTTTCAATTTGAAATGACAAGAAAAATACAATAATAGAAATGTTTTTGCATTCTTTTCCTTTCCTTTAAGTTTTCATTTTTGCATTTGGCAACAGTTAAATATAAAAGCAAACAACTTGTGAAAACAGTTGCAAATTTTGGAACATTGTGAGAGAGTTGTATTTTTCGTACAAAAACTGCGTTGCATCTCATTAGCATCATAATTTAAAATAAACCCTGCCGCACGAAGGGTTATATTTGTATGATACACCATGGTAAATTCAGCCTGAATAAGAAAATAAACCCTGATTGAGCCTTTAATCATGATTAGATGTTATGTGTAAATTCGCCTTAATAACCTTAAAGGGCTAAGCAGAATGCTAGCGTTAAGCCATCCGTCGCGTTATGTGTTATCGAAAATACAACAACCACAAGGAAACGATAACACAAACGCTCGAAATTGATGTGCGCTGCGCTTCGGAGTTAAATATATTTTAACTTTTTGTGTACGTTAACGCGATAACAAAAAACGCCCAACGCGAACATTCTGTTTAGCCCTTAATTTATTTTCAGGATTTTGTAAATCCACAACCTATAAATTGCGTATGTAAATGCGCTATTAAACAAGTCTTCAAACTTACAGTGTTGTATTTTACATTGAACATTCTTCTAACGGTTACTTGCCATCAATGATTACCATTTGATGTACCAGCTATCAAATACTTGGCTAATTACCTAATACTCGTACAACCCTATACCCAGCTTTGAGTTCTTCACCGTCTGTCAAACTACTTCAACGCATTCAATCGTGTCGTCGTGTAGCCTGCAATTTTCGTCGGGTGAAGTGGAAAAATTGTATATTCTTCAAAAAATCTAGTAAAAAAAAACTAACGCCGGTTAAACAAGTCCGGGAAATTTCGTTTTACAAAAAGGTAAGCAAGGTTTTGTTTTTAAGGAAATATTTTTATTTTCCTTTGTGTTTAAACAATAATAATTATACAAAAAGAAAGTAGTGCCGTAGAAAGAAAAGAAAAAAAAAATTGTGTACTTGGTGGTGGTGTCGCGAAAAATGTGAAAAGAAACAAGGCCACTCACTTTTTTTCTTCGACACCTTATGAAGAAAAAGCAAAATGGCGGCGTCCATCGGCTTGGGGGTTTTAGCGTGCTTGATGTGTGCTGTTTATTCTTTTGTTAGTTTCCAGAATGTAATGCTTAAGTAAACATAATAGTTTGTTTTGTAATTAATTAATATTTCTGTTTTAGTTTTAAAGGTTTTTGTTCAATTACTGCTAGCTTTCATCTTGGTTACAAAGTGATTTGCCGGTTTCTTTTGGCAACATGACGCCTGCAGAGAAAAAAATGTTGTTTGAATGTGTGTGTGCGTGGTTTTTTTTCAAGACTTGTACAGACATGAATTTTTGTCACAGCCGCCATACTGTTGTTTGCCTGGACAAACCCGGCTGGATAGTAGCATAACATGTTGGTTGTATATTAGCTGAGGTAGAATAAAATTTTTGGCATGATTGCCTGCCTGCAGAAGTAGGAAACTCCAAACCAAAACCCCTTGCAGATTTTCTTAAAATAGAAATCGGCTTACGTTGTGGTAGTGTTTTACAAAATGTATACTGGAAAAAGATGATATAAATAGATGTTCCATAAAGTTCTTTAAGTGGTGCGAAATATATCTTTGTTATTGTTGTAGTATGAAGTCAGTATACAGTAGAAAGTCGGATAGCGAGATTGCAGATTTTATATCGTGCTCTGTTCTTCAAAAGGGCATGTATATTTTTTAGATTTTTTATTTTTATTTTACCATATATTGTTGATCTGTCCATAGTATATTGAACTTGTGAGCAATATTCTGTTTTGTGCATAATTTGTTGTGGAAATGATTTGGAAGTTTTTAACATGGTTGCATCCTCGTAAACAAACGTTTAATTTAAAAAAAATTTACTTTCGAAAATTTATAACATTTATATCAACCCACCACCATCGCCAAAATCAAGGGTGTTTTTATGTGTATCCCAAGGTGTAGAGGTACAGCACTTTAAAACTAGTTTTTTTAGCACCTGCCTTTTTTTAGAAAATGTTGAAATCAAGCACAAAGGAAAAGGTTTGAAGTTTTTGCCACACATAAGTAACGAGTTGTGTGCTGTTAGCCTCAATATAAATAAATCCTAAATCCCTGACCGAAGGCTGTCTTTTTGTAAGTTGTCCGACTTTTCTATCTCTCCATAGGAGTTTAAAAACACAACCGTAAGCCGACTATTAAAAAGAAAATAGAAATTGAAAGTTTTTTCGCCTTAGCCGACTTTTCGATCTCTCCATAATAAATAGCCTCGAATCCCGGACAAAGACATGTTATTACAACGAGCCTTGACTGTATATATTGATGTAATTAGCATTTCCAGTCCCGGTCCTGTATTCAACTTGTTCCAAACAATACATATACTACTCGAAAACACATTTGCATTTTTTCTCCTACCTATTTCCATTAATTTCCATGAACTAAGAGACAATTGAATCCAAAAGTGCCACTTCAGTAAATAAAGAGTAAACAAGGAGATATATTTCCTATAACTGTTTCTTCGGAATAAAGCTATTGATTAACGAAAGAAATCATCGGTCAACGGGTGCCGGGTACTATTGTATGGTTAAGGTTGAGCCCAATTCCGACCACCATGTTCAAATCGCCCTCGGAAACAAAAGCTATCTGCGATAAGTTGAAAAGTAGGAATAAGATTCTCAAATCACTTGCCGGCAGCAGCAAATAAGGAAACCTTGTTCACCTTCTTCAAAGCTGTTACCAGTGTGGCCTGAGAATACTAATGCTACACAGACGAAGATCTTTCCCTTACGTCAGCATAGCAATATGCTTTTGAAGCAGTCTCTTCTTGTGTGCCTCAGGAACAATCATCTTGAATGAATACAGATTGAATGTCGTCCTCGAAGCTAAACCCCAAATCAAATCTAGACTTAAATCACCTGTCCATTGGAGAAAGTCTTAAATGCCGGCCGAAGCTTGGCTATTTAGAAATAAATTTGATTTCTTTATTTCTCCTTAGGTGACCGAATTTAAATTCTAGACCAAACTCGGGCTTTATATAACGGCATTAGAAAGGAAATTATGTCCGCATTTAGAAATAACGCAGTCAAACGTAGGGTTATTTTGATCCATCACGTGTTGCCAAAGCAAGATTTCGTAACTCGTTTATAAAGAATCATTTCAGGTTCATTTATAAAGTCTCTTCAAGTTCGTCTATAAAGACACCCTACAGTTCGTATATAAAGACTCCCCTTCAGCTCGTCTATAAAGACTCCCCTTAGCTCGTCTATAAAGACTCCCCTTCAGCTCGTCTATAAGACTCCCCTTCAGCTCGTCTATAAATACTCCATTCAGCTCGTCTAAAAAGACTCCCTTCAGCTCGTCTGTAAAGACTACTTTCAGCTCGTCTAAAAAGACTCCATTCAGCTTGTCATAAGGACTCACTTCAGCTCGTCCATAAGGACTCACTTCAGCTCGTCCACAAAAACTCACTTCAGCTCGTCCATAAGGACTCATTTCAGCTCGTCCATAAGGACTCACTTCAGCTCGTCCATAAGGACTCACTTCAGCTCGTCCATAAGGACTCACTTCAGCTCGTCTATAAGGACTCACTTCAGCTCGTCTATAAAGATTCCCTTCAGCTCGTCTACAAAGTCTACTTTCACCTCAAATTCTTCTATTATTTTGGATTACTTTAATAATCATTTTTCTTTCTTTTGTTCTTTTTCAGCTACATTCTTCAATTGAAAAAAAACTCCCTACTCGTTCTCCCTTTTTTTAAATCAAAACAAATATGTCTAACGATCACGATAATCAAAATGATGATAGCCAAAACTATGACGATAGTCAATGTGATGGCGGTTCCCAGGAAGAGGAGGAGAATGGCTCACAAAATGATCAAGATCAAGATGATGATGTAAATAATGAGGAAAATGATGACAACAATGGTGACGGCGGTGATGACAACAACGGCGGAGAAGATGGACCAAAATATGTACGTTTACGTGGTCTTCCATGGTCGGCAACACACAAAGAAATCTTAGATTTCCTAAAGGATGTTACGGTGGTTGGTGGCGCCGAGGGTATTCACTTGATAACAAGCCGCTGGGATGGTAAAAATACCGGTGAGGCTTACGTAGAAGTTGAAACTCAACAAGATGTTAATGCAGCATTGAAATTGAACAATGCCTCAATGGGTCATCGTTATATTGAAGGTAAGTATTACCATAGGAAAATTGAAGGGATTTCATTTTAATGTTTTTTGTTATATTTATTTGTCTTCAGTTTTCAATGCCGAAGCCTCTGAGGCCAAGGAAGCCATGCGTAAAACCACCAATCATGGCAACTCATTTGTTGTAAAGCTTCGTGGCCTACCATACTCTGTAACCGAACAACAAATTGAGGAATTCTTCAGCGGTAAGTTTGGCAAACATTAATTTTGTTTCTCGATTGCATTTTGTAGCTCGTGTTTTGATTTGTTTTCTTACTTGATTTATTTGATTTCCTAATTTAAAATTTGAGTATTAGAATATAAAAAATAAGAATGCATGTTACCTTTTTGTAAGTACTGTTTCCAAACAACAAATAATCTTTAGCAAAATCACACAATGTAATACAAAAAAAGCAATGCTCTGGGCAAAGTGTTTAAAAAAAAAGATCTCCATAACCATGCCAGAAAATACATTTACCCGCCTTCTTAGGAAATGGGAGCCACAATGAATGAATGAATATATGGTGGTGGTGGTGGGAACATTTTGCTGTATCCATCCCTAAATATCTTTAAGAGCAAACTCAAATCATTGAAAAAGGGGTCTTTGCCCATAAAAAAAAACTAGAAAAAATCGTAAATTTGTAATAACTAAAACAAAATATTCCTAACAATATTTCTTAATTATTTTTTTTTTGTTGGCAATTTTAGTTGTTGTGTTGTATACTCTCTTTAAGAATTTGCAACTTTTGATATTCATTCAGGTCTTACACAGCCATGTTGTTGTTGTTAGGACTGTGAATTGAAAAATCAAATTAAGAACGTAAACAAATATATCTTTCTTTTTATCAATTTTAAGTGAAACATTTATTCTCTCACCAAAAATACCATATTATCAAAACAAAACAAACAAAAAATGTTGGTTTAAGTTTTTGTTGTTATTATTCTTGTGTTATTATTATTACCATTGGGCAGGGTTGGAAATCAAGGCGGATCGGGAGGGCATTGTATTCGTTGTGGACAGACGGGGTCGTGCTACAGGGGAAGCATTTGTTCAGTTTGAAAGCCAGGATGATACTGAACAAGCCTTGGGACATAATCGGGAAAAAATTGGGCACAGGTGGGTTCCTCTTACTCTCTACATAACTAAAAAATACAAATATATAAAATATTAATAAAATAAATACAATAATAAAAATACAACAAGTTTTGATTTTAAAACTTGTACTTTATTACCTTACTAATCATTTTCTAGATATAAAAAATAAAACTGGTTTTACAATTTAAAATTTTGCAAAACGAAGGCGCTTGAGCAAAATTTCATTTTCCTAGTTTTTATTTCCATTTTATTTTTCTTTCTCTCCTAGATTGGGTTATAAATTCTGTAACTCTTCAAGAGTTCTTGGAATTGTTAACAATTTCGAACACCTATTTTTTTTAATATTTTATATCAAAAGAAACAAATACCAGAAATGTTTTTTTTTTTTTCAAAGTCATCGTTAAAAGTCTCGTCGCCTCAATGCAAATGGATTTCGTCGTATTATTTTCATCATATATTTTGATAATATTTGTTTTTCTAATATTTCTTTTTTTATTATTGTTCTCCCTCCTTTAGGTATATTGAGATATTCCGCAGTTCTATTGCTGAATTGAAACGTACTGTAAGCGGCAATGGCCGTATGGCACCATATGATTTAAAGGATCGTGGCAGCAATCGTGGTGGTAATAACGATTTTGGCGGCAATAATCGCAATCGTAAGTATCATTTAAAAGGGTATTTGAATTGTTTTTTATTGTAGATATCGGCATGAACTAAAAGAATCCTCTCAACTCCATATATAAATACTCCCTGCTTAAGGTCGAACCACTCCCTTAAGCTCGTCCATTAGCTCGTCTATAAAGACTACTTCCAGCTCGCCTATAAACTCCCTCTATAGCTCATCTATAAAGACTCCCTCCAGGTGGTCTATAAAAATTCCCTCCAGCCCGTCTATATATTTTCCCTCCAGCTGATTTATAAAGACATTCTTCAGCTCGTCTATAAAGACTCCCTCCGGATTGTCTATAAAGACTCCCTCCGGATTGTCTATAAAGACTCCCTCCAACTCGTCTATAAAGACACCCTCCAGTAGGTCTCCAAAAATTTCTCCAACTCATCTATAAACACTCTCTCCAACTCGTCTATAAAGTCTCTCCAACTCTTCTATAAACACTCCCTCCATCTCGTCTATAAAGACTCGCCCATCTCGTCTATAAAGACTCGCCCATCTCGTCTATAAAGACTCGCCCATCTCGTCTATAAAGACTCGCCCATCTCGTCTATAAAGACTCGCCCATCTCGACTATAAAGACTCCATCCAGCTCGTTTATAAAAACTCCCTCCAACTCGTCTATAAAGACTCTCTCCAACTCGTCTATAAAGACTCTCCAACTCTTCTATAAAGACTCCTCTAGTTCGTGTATAAACTTTCCCTCCATCTCGTCTATAAAGACTCCCTCCAGCTCGTCTATAAAGACTCCCTCCAGCACGTCTATAAAGACTCCCTCCAGCACGTCTATAAAGACTCCCTCCAGCTCGTCTACAAAGACTCCCTCTGTCTCGTCTATAAAGACTCATCCAGCTCGTCTATAGGCTCCATCCAGGTGGTCTATACAGACTCTCTCCAGCTCGTCTATAGACTCCATCCAGCTCCATCCAGGTGGTCTATACAGACTTCCTCTAGTTCGTCTATAAACTTTCCCTCCATCTCGTCTATAAAGACTCTCTCTAGCTCGTCCATAAAGACTCCCTCTGGCTCGTCTATAAAGTCTCCCTCCAGCTCGTCTATAAAGACTCCCTATGAAGACTCGTATATAAAGAGATCGTCTTGAAGAGTTACTCCATCTTATATATAAATACTCGCCTCGTCTATAAAAGATTCCCGGATTCAGCTTGCCTATAAGAGACTCCCTGTTTCAGCTCCTCTCTCAAGACTTGCTTCAGCTCATCTATAAAGACTTTTTAAAGCAATTTATTGACAATTTTCTAACGCTTTTCCCGTCTTATATTTAGGTGGTGGTTGGGGTAATGGTGGCGGCTTTGGATCCGGCGCCAATAATACCCTCGGCTTTAATAATTTACCAAACTTCGGCAATAATGGCAATTTCGGAAATAATGGTAATTTTGGTAATTTCGGAAATAATGGCAACTTTGGAAATGGAGGAGGTGGTGGTGGCGGCCGCAACTTTGGTAATTTCGGTAACAGCGGCAATTTCGGCAACAGCGGTAATTTCGGTAACAGCGGAAACTTTGGCAACAACGGCAATTTTGGAAACAATGGCAATTTCGGCAATAACTCCGGCGGTGGTGGTGGCGGCGGTAGTGGCTTCAACCGTTTCGGTGGTAATAACGATTTTGGCGATTTCAATAACTTTGGCAATAATCGCGGCGGCGGTGGTGGCCCCAACAATAACGGTGGCAATTTTGGTAATTTTGGCAACTTTGGAAATTTCGGAGGCGGTAACAATGGCGGTAGCGGCGGTTTTGGCAGTGGCAATAATATGGGAGGTGGTGGCGGTGGAAACTTTGGTCCCATTGGTGGTGGCCGCGGTGATGATTTGTATGTGGTACATATGCGCGGTTTACCATTCAGTTCATATGAAAATGATGTCTTCAAGGTGAGTTCCACAATATATGCCCAACAAGTTGTCCAATTTAACACTTTTTGTTCATTTTGCTTGCAGTTCTTTGAACCTTTACGTCCAGCCAATGTCCGTATTATTTACAATGACAAGAATCGCCATAGCGGCACAGCCGAAGCATGCTTTGAAAGCTATGAAGATGCCCAGCGTGCAATGAAACGTGATCGCCAGCAAATGGGTTCCCGCTATATTGAATTGTTCTTCAATGGCAAGAAGAACTCTGGTGGCGGCGGTGGTATGGGTGGTAGTGGCGGCGGTATGGGTGGCGGTATTGGTGGCAACAGTTATAGTGGCCCCCCAATTGGTAATAACTACAGTTCGGGTGGTAGCATTGGTGTCGGTGGTGGTGGTGGCAGTAACAATTTCTTCCAAAGACGCATCTAAAGAGATAAGCATCTTACTTTTTATATAACTCCATAAATACCAATACGCCACCAGCCACCACGTTCGTCGCCTCCTTCTCGCCGTACAGCGTACACACTGAATCGAGTGTGTAGCTTCTTGAAGAGGAGGCCATAAACAGAGAGAAGGGTGTGGCCATAGATCTTAAAGTTTTAATAAGATTCCTTGTATTTTATTTTGTTTTATAAATGACATTATTCATTCTCTTTGACCCCTCCTAACTTTCCCCTTTCATACGTAATTAAGTCCTTTCTCCTTTAACGCCTATACAGTGCTATCATTTTGATGATCCTCCCTGATCTAACTTAATTTTTAATTTAAGCTTAGTTTTTTTTTGACTATAATGAAAATTAGCTTCCTTTTTATTTAGTTTTTGTTTTTATATAAAAAAAAAACAACAGAAGCCAGATCCATCTTCTTTTGGAAACACTGTATAATTCCTATTGGAAACTAGAACAAGAAAATTATAAGAACAACAAAAACACAACACTACTAATTTTATTTATATCAATGATTTTTTAGTATTTCTCTATAAATTAAGATTATAAAAAGGCAAACAAAAAATCCCCCACAAACACATGTATATTGAAATATACTGTACACCAGAAATGGAAAAAAAAGATCAGAACATGTTTTCCCTAGTAAAAAAGAAACGAAGAGTGTGTAGTGATTTATAATGAAATCCATGTTGGATTTTTTTTTTGGGAAAACAATGATCTATAACAACAATTATACAACTATAAGAATTTTAACGTATTTCGAAAATAAAAAAACAAACAACAACAAATCCTAGAAACAAATGATTTTTTTATTTCTAAAATGTTTATAGACGAGCGAAGGGAGTCTTTATAGAGGAGCTAAAGCAGGGAGTCTTTATAGACGAGCTGAAGCAGGGAGTCCTTCTAGACGAGCTAAATGGAGTCTTTAAGACGAGCCTGAAGGGAGTCTTTATAGGTGGGAGACTTTATAGACGAGCTGGAGGTAGTCTTTATAGACAAGCTGACGGAAGTCTTTATAGACGAGCTGAAGCAGGGAGTCTTTATTGACGAGCTGAAGCAAGGATTCTTTTTTTAGACGGCTGAAGCAGTGAGTCATTTTACAGACGAGCTGAAGCAGGGAGTCTTTATAGACGAGCTGAAGCAGGGAGTCTTTATAGACGAGCTGAAGCAAGGAGTCTTTATAGACGAGCTGAAGGGGAGCCTTAATAGTCGAGCTGAAGGGATCTTTATAGACGAGCTGAAGGGAATATTTATAGACGAGCTGAAGGGGAGCCTTAATAGTCGAGCTGAAGGGGTCTTTATAGACGACATGATGGGAGTTTTTATAGACGACCTGAATGGAGTCTTTATAGACGACATGAAGAGCCGAAGGGAGTTTTCTCTTTGTATCGGATCTGCACCCTAGATAGTTGGTTCTTTCTTGTCTTGGCAATATCCTTGCCAACTTCTTCCGGCGGTGATGCTTGTGAGGAAGTGGAGGAAAAATCAGACCCATCCTTCTGCTGTTCGCTCTTGTTTCTCTGGTTCCCCCTGGCCAGTTCCTGCCTCTGTATCATATATAGCTGCTTCGTCAGCTTTAACAATGTCCTTGCTCACTACTACTTAGTAGAGTATGGAGGGCTTATATTCGCTTTCCGATTGGGAATTTTAGTCGAAGTCCCAGCATTTTTAAGAAGTTTGGTTTGATATTGTTCTTCCCCGGAGGTTCTTAGACCTCGGGCAGTGGCCTTGTAGCGATATCATCGACCACATATGCCAAGACAGCCATATCTGTAGGAGATATTTGCTCATGGTCGCAGCTCGTTGGCAGATCATCGACACCCGCCGGTATTGAGTTATTTATTTCCTTTTTTGTTTAAAAAAACATCCGAAGTAAAAACGAAGTTCCTATAGACGAACCTTTCTGGTTATTAACCGCGGATTCTGCATAACTCAGCGACATCTATACATGAGTATTTATAAATTTTTCGGTCACTTGAAAATGTCTGTACATTGTCCCTGCTAGATATAGTTTTCGTAAGCTCGGTTATAAACCACTTGTGTCATATTTGTGAAAATGTTTTCGAGGGGATTTTTTTTTTTTGGTCGGAACTTCGAATGGAACTGGGGCGAAAGAACAGTTTTATTTAAAAAAAATTATATAATTGCAGGAAAACTTATGTCGTCTATTGTAGTGTGCTGACTACATATTACAGTTGGAGAATCAACCTTTCACATTGCGAATCTATGAATGTCAGAATTCTTAGATTCACATTTGGTTTTGGATAAATAAAATTAACATAATACGTGATATGAATTAATTGATCTACTTAAATGTTAGCATTCGTCAATGAATGCGGATCGTGCAAAATCACAACCAAATTACTTGGGTTAAACTACGTCATAATTTCATGCCTGTAGCTGCGTTATTGCTTTATACGAAAAAAAAAAACAAAAACGTAATTAAAAACGGAAAGCCTACTCTAGATGTTATCGTGTTACGTTTCTGTCAACGGTTTTTTCTTTTTTTTTTTTGCCTCACATTGCACTCTTGACTGGTGCTAATTAAATGCAACGAATTACATTTTGTGTGACAGACAGACAGCCAAACAAAACGAAAAAACTTGACAAGCTATTTGTTACTTTTTAAATTGTTGTCGATTTCTCTGGGAATACCTGCGATTGAGTATCAGATAGTAAATACGTTTTGACGTAAAGTTTCATATATGGAAAGTTGATTTTTGTGTTTTTTTTGCATTAGTAATTAATAATGGGAGTGGATTCTGATTTTGGAATGCAATAAATTTGTATATCACATATCCAATGAAATTTTGTAGAATATACACTTCATTAGAATAAATAATGTATGTTGTTCCATTATATATCCTCCTGTAGAGATAAAGAAGGAAACCTGGTGACAGATACAGACAGCGTGCTGAGGATCTGGAAGGAGCATTTTGAAAAACTTCTGGTAAATAGTAGCAGTGAAGTGGATACCCCAGAACCAATAATAGATGACGGTATAGAGTGTATACCACCTAGCCAAGATGAAGTCAGAATAGCAATCAATCGGCTGAATAATAATAAAGCAGCAGGTGCCGATGGGTTACAAGCCGAACTATTCAAGATTGGTGGTCAGATGCTGGTAAGGAGCATGCAGTACAATTTGGCTAGAAGAATGCATGTCCAATGATTGGAACCTCAGCATCCTGTGTCCCGTGCTCAGACAAGGTGACAGTTTATCGTGTGAACTTTTTAAAATCCTGCAATGATATTATTGGACCATACCATTGTGGGAAAAGGTCTGGAAAAAAATCACGAAAAACACATCGACACAGTCCACCTAGGCAAAAGTGACAACAGAAATGGCACTCAAAATTAATGTACACCAAACAACACATGTTACTACACCAAACAACAGGCCTACGCCGATGAAATCGACATAATGGGTCGAACATTGAGAGCGGTAACAGCCATCATTGAAAAAATTGAGAAGGAGTCTGCCAAAGTGGGTATGGCAGTAAATGGCGAGAATATCAAGCTGATGGTATCAAGGCGCAAGACTTCCAGTAGACTCGGACCAACTGGGGAACTTGAGAACTACAGCTTCGAGGTAGTCAAAGATTTTATATACCTTGGTACCGCCATAAACAAAACGAATGACATCAGTTTTGAAATACGGAGAAGGATAGTGATGGCCAACCGATGGTCTGAGCAAACAACTCAAAAGCAAGGCCAACTCCCGCCAGACCAAACTCACACTCCAGAAGACGCTGAAATACCCGTGCTGTTATATGGATCTGAAGCATGGATACTTACGCAAGCAGATGAGACAGCTCTTGGAGAGTTTGAGAGAAAAATTCTCCGAGAGATCTATGGGCCGATCTGCGTTGACGGTGAATGTCGCCGTCGAATGAACCATGAGTTGTACCAGCTATTCTCGGACATCGACATTGTTTTACGTATTGAGCTGCAGCGACTGCGTTGGCTAGGTCATGTTGTCAGAATGGATGAAGATGCCCCAGCCCAGAAGGCATATAAAAGCGAATCAGCTGATGGTTCACGCAGAAGGGGAAGGCCACGAATCAGATGGAAAGATCAAGTGGAAGACAACATTGCCGAACATGGTCTTTCAAATTGGAAAAACTGCGCAAAAGACCAACGTGACTGGAAATTTTTTTAACGGCTCGGCTTATGGAATGTTTATTGTGTCACAAGCCAGCTAAGTAAAAGTAAGTAAGTAATTTCGATATTTATAGGGTAAAAATGCAGATGGGCAAGATCAGTCAGTCAAGTAGAGGTGTTGTTTGTATCTTTATCGATTGGTCATGCAATTGTTGCTGGGTTATCATAGTAAAGGTTCCGCCTCCTTTTTGTATTATTTTAAGATTTAAATTTGATCGAAATTGTAGTATGAAGTACAGTGGAATCTAGTACAAGTAGTCGAGCCTCGTCGCATCCTTCTGGAGTTAAAAACATTGCTAAGGCTGCCGGTAACGTTGGGATCCAGCTGATGTTGATGCCTTAGCTTCTGATAAATCATCTCGTCAGGTGTGTCGATTTTCTTGGATTTGTTAAGCATTGGATCAGGTTCTGGGCTTAATCTTTCTTTCTTTTTAAAACTGGGGTATTTGAAGGTTCATATATCTTGGTGGAGCATGTTGTGGAGACTTTTTTTGGAATTTTTAGAAGTTAATACTACAAGAGTTTTGCCTTAGCTCCTTTTGTCTTTTTATCTGGTAAACTGCTGTTAAGAGTTTATAAAATCTAAAGTTATTTTTTCTTACAAGAGGTGAAAATGTTAACTTATTTAAAGGCTGTAATCTTGATAACAATTTGCATAATTGTAAATCGAAGTTGATGCATCGGGGATTTTTTTTTTTGATCACATTTAGAATAACAAAGACAAAGCGATCTCGTGATTTCATAAGAATTGCGGAATACCCAAAGAGCAATCACGTGTATCGCTTATTAATGACATACTTGAAAAGCAAAAAATTTTAA